TACATCCAAAACTATTACCTGTCTCCCACTCCACCCATCAGTCTATTCTGACACCTGTCGAGCACCTCGGAGTCTAACAGCTCTGTGGTCACAGACGAGTTATTTAAGTTTACCTGACTTGACAGCCCACAAGCCAAACGTTTCTCAACTCACGCTGATAAGAAACAAGAGTAAAGGCAAACGCAGAAATATAACCCAACTTTCCAATGACCCCATTTCGCAGCTCCACTTCCATTCCCTGCGCTATATATACGTATTACTGTCGGTTATCTGGCGCGAAACCTACTTACACACTTGTTTCTTTAACCCATTTGGCCCGAGACACGCACGCATCCGCTGGCCAGGCCCTGCAACGAGAGGGTGGAGACTTGACACATAAATCTCTTTAATTGCCTCACGCAACGCGAAACCGAAGTCGTCGGACTTCCAAGTCTCAAAGGTGTCTTGCAAGCGGCAATTAATTAAAAGCAAGCGGCACTAAATTAATTTAATGCCTATCTTCGAGTCACAGACAAAATCGCTGTTTCATCATTAACACTTCGCCCAGCCAAGCCACAATCGGGAAAAGCTGAATGAACTTGGCGCATTTATCATAAGAGTCAAGACGGAATGCATTTATCTGATCTATATAATGTGGAAAGGCCAGAACTTGATATCATGAAAGACTGCAGCTTGATTATAGATTGATCTCAATCAGATCGTATTTTATTTTATAGCAAGCAAAACCTAATCAAGAATTTATATACTGTATAGGGTCTGCAAAGCCATATTTGTTTACCTAATAACTGTCCATATATCTGAATCATCAGATATTCATATAAATATATGCATATGTTATTCATGATAAGATTTTTGGAAAACTGAATTCAAATTTCGTGTCTTCTTTCCCAACTCCTTAACTCTTTTCCAATTACAATCCCTATTTCAAACAAACACACTCTTCTTCCATATATTTATCTATTAATTACTCGAAAACCGATGACTGTCCATTTATCGATTTAACAAAATAGAAAGTTATATCGATATAGAAATACATATATCAACACCAATTGAGTAATTAAAACTTGCAACTGTCACCTTCCACGCTCCACACACACGTCAAACTAAAATTCTAATTGAAAACGGGGCGTGTGCAGGGGGGTGGGCGAGCCACTGTTTACCTCTGACCGTTAGATAAACATCAAGCAGTGTCGCTTGCATTTGCTTCTTGTATGTTTAAATAACGGTAAAAAGTGTATCCATGACTGCATGATGCACGCATTCACGCCCATTCTCCCCCTCTCTCCGGCTCCTTCCACACTCCATACACAGAAGACAAAAAAGTTGCTGAATAATGGCCACGCCCCGCACGCCCAGCCGACATATTAAAGCGTGTAATTATTTTTGGATAGATAGATAGCTTCATATGCGAGGGTAAAACTCTGCATGGTGCAGTTTTTCTCGTTGATTGACTGACAGCAGACACTGTCAGTCAAAGCGGCAGACAGCGTTTGCCGCTCGCCGCTCGCGGGTCGGAGGTCAAGTGCAGCTGAAGCTAAGAGCTTCGAGCCGTAATGGAGATTCTATGACTAGGCCCACACCCGCACTCTAATATTGCTGTTGTTGTAGTTGTCATGGCAATATGCAATGCTTGTCTATGGCGCTGCACTTGAAATATGAAATGCAAGGCAGACAGCCAAGTCCATGGGCATAGTTTATAGAATACCCCGGGCTCTTCCGGGTTGGGGCTTATGCATTCAAGTTGTGTAGAATGCGCCGCATGCAAAGCCAAAATCAATAACAATTAGTTGGCAGTTTATGCAGGCTTTATAGAGCAGTGGCAGGGGACTGGGGCATAGTTAAGTTGATTTTTATGCAGCTGTCAAGACAAACGGAGAATCAGCTTAAATGGGCAGCTTAAAGTGAGTAGGTTAAGAAATGCGGAGTTGAGGCGGGGAGAGAGCAGTTCAACTTTTACCCCTAACAAATATGACTTCATCTCTGTTGTCCCTAGTCACTCCCTCTCTCTCTTGCTTTAAAACCACACACATTCCATTTACTTATCTACCTATCTCTCTCTCTCTCTCTCTCGATGCATCTAAGATCTTTTCCTAGTTTTGGGATTCAAGCAAGAGAAGAAGCTGTGTTCTATAGCTGCTTCTCCCACACACATTCCAACTATTTAAGCAATTGAACAAACATTTATCAATCAAGCTCAACAATTAGTTGGGTAAAACAAAACGCGCACCCTTCTTTCCATCCACAGCTAAACGCTAATGCCTTTATTTATTCATTGCTTAGCAATCCCAAAATTCCCGTTTCTCGTTCCCCCAATCCACATATTTCTCACATATGCCAATGTTGGGAAACATTTCTCAGACCCGACTCAAAGAATCAACTGAAATATATATGTATATATATGAATATGCGGGTTCCACCGCTCAATGGGTTTCACGTTTGCCTTTTCGTTTGTTATTCATAATTTGATATTTTTTTTTAGTTTTTTCGTGTTTTATTTCTTTGACAACTAATTGAATTTCAGCCCAAGTTCTTGGCGCCTTATGACATCATCAGCGATTTTTCGATTCATTCCTATGGCATAATATTCACTAGGGAGCGGCTGCCACTGTTGCTGCCATGTAACGAAATCCTTTTGGCCACAATCTCAGACACACAAGTCGTATTAAATTGTATTAGCAACAAATTTATTGCATTTGTTAACAGACTTGACAACGTGCTCAATTGCTGAAGTTAGGCGAGGCGGGGCGGGGCGGACGGTCTGAAAAGCCACGCACTGCTGGAAAACCAGCTAACATACCCACACCCACCGACTGCAGGAGGAGGAGGGGCCAAACGACGGCGACAGTTTGACAGAAATGTCAAATTGGCAGGCAAAACAAACAACGGCAACAAAATTTGAAAATTTGTAATTTTGAATGAATGACTGGCGCAATGAATGAATCACAGACTGACTGAGTGAGTGAGTGTGAGTGAGTATATTCACAGTTGAGCGCAGTCCTCGGGCTGTATGCAAATATTATGCATTTAGTCGATTGCCAATGTAATTGGCAAACAAGGAAGCAATGCAACAGCCGCAATCGCAGCCTCAGCAACTGCCTGTCAATTGAGAGAAATGAAGGAGACGACGCGACGTCGACGGCAGCCAAAGGTGGAGCATTGCGATGCTGCAGCAAAGAGACGACGCCGGCAGCGAGACGCCACAGCAGTCAACGTCAAAACTAGTAGGAGTAAGGAGAGAGTGATCAACACGGCATATACCCTGTAAGCAGCTGCAGGGAGCAACTTGAGCATTTTCTTTCACTATGCTTTAATGTATGATCCCCCTAATATACCCCTCTTTACTAATTATTGCAGAGTATGGCCAACAGTAAATACTTTTCAGCTAACGACAAACCAGCATTCGTCTAAGCAAAATTAATGAAATTGCCAATGGAACTCGACATTAAACGAAATGAATGCTACAAATGGCGCATAATTGTTTGCTCAGGTGGTCAACAACAACTAGGCAGACTCGACAGACTCGGCAGACCTGGTAGACCTGGCCATTGAACTGCAGTTGGTCAAGAGAATCCAAACAGACGTAATTAGCAACACTTGATGAGCTACACACACGTGAGAAGCCCTCCAAAACAAAAAGAGTGCTGTTGACCTCTTCGAGGAGGAGGCTAGAGGGTCTAAACCCACAACGAATTGATAAACGCTGCAGCGACTGGGCGAACGATTGGGCGCGTCCACCTAATGAGATCTCATTAATTTGATAAAGACGATTAAATTATGTTTTGGCTTCTCATATGATAAATGAGCCAAGACTCAAATGCGGGCCTCAAATTTGTAGCGCTCAACTCGCTTTGAAGTTCGTTTAAACGAGTCACGGGAGACCATGACAGAAAAACATATCAATATATGCATCAAATGAAGATCAATATTCATTATTCTACTCATTCATCATCTTAAGAGTGGTTTATAAAAGGCCCTGTGAATATGATAATAGAAGCTGATCAAAATCTTTTGCAGATTATCTGATTTGACTATTTGAGAGATTTATCACGAGTGCTCTAGTAAGGAGTGCCCGACTAGGAAATACCTTGGTCACACCCGATCATTCATATCATTTATATAATCCACCAATGTGATTCAAGCGACCTATCACATATGTATGTGTGTTATTATAGCTGAAAGATCTATAAATATATAACTCTAACTCGCTCTTTATACGATTTTATACGATTTTCCCATATCATGTTTGCCCGTTACCCCATCTCCAAGCGATATCGTCTACCTCCTATATATATGCTTTGCTATTTATTGCAATTGTGCTTTATAAATGCAGACATGTTTATTAGCCTAAGTTCTGTGCCTGTGGCTACATTCTTCTTCTTCTTCTTCTTGCCGTTCTTCGTCTTCCTACTTATCCAGTGCCGAATTGGCCTTGGTGGCAATGACGCACTCCTCGCCACAAGCCGCCAATACGGTGCACAACAGATCCTTGCCCTCCTCGAATTCGAGACGTAATAGACCGCCCAATTCTCCCTCGGGCACCTTGAGATCCTCACGGATGTCCCCATTGTCGGACATGAGGGTAAGAAACCCATCGTCGCTGATATCGGTCAGCTGATAGTCTTCGCGCTTCACTTGCGGCACATCCATGTTGTGGGTCGAGGGGCAAATGTCCTCGTACTTCTTCTGGGTGAATATATCGATGCCGACCATATGGACCTTGGCATGCCCATGCTTGCCAGTCTTCGAGGTGGACATATCCACGATCTTGCACGGACGACCCTTCAGCATGACGAATCCGTTTTTACGCAATGCCGAGCATTGCATCGGGTACGTCTTCGATGCACCCGAATCGGCGACATCAAATGCAATCTCCTCATCAGCCATCGAGATTATGGCTGATTTCCTGTTTTGGGACTTTTAAGAAAAATGAAATTGTTTAAAAGAATTCCGATTGTGAGCTCTATGTTTTTCCAACTGACCAAATGCTGTCAACAATTCAGACTATTATAACACAGCCAGTGTCAACTTGGATTGAAATAAATTTCAAGTTATCTCTCAATTTTCCCCTCTGCTTTGTACGTACTTTCGACATTCACAATTTTGTTTGTTTATGCATTCGCATAGACAGCTGCATTGGGAGAGCGCACAATTTATGCTTCATCAAAAGCCGAACATGGCCAAAAGTCATAAAATTGAAGCAACGTCGCAATCTGAATCTGCATACGATTATCATTCATTCATCATGCGATAGTCATACGCATATCCGGCATTTCTTCTTCTTTCCTCTATCTCTGGTCTGCACTTCGAACGTGCGCATAATTAACACTTGTCGATCAAGTCGATTCAGCTCTAGTTGACAAAGCTGCACCTGAGGTGGGAGTTTAATGTGACGACTTCGAAATACCCTCACCATCTAGTGAAACTCTATTGCATTGCAAACGACTTCCGCTCATTAAGGTGGAAAATGCGTGGAGCTCAAACAAATGCAAATGCTGCTAAGAAGTGGAAGTATAAATCATTACATAATATTAAGAGACTATAGAAAAGATAAGAAACACGATGCTTATAGCTACTATATCTACTATATAGCTTCCACTGAAACCAACTGAAGGATGTGCCTTTCGCCTACTTTCACGGAATATAAGTGCAAATATTCAAGCAAACAAAGTAAGCTAATACAAAAATGTAAATCTAGTTCAGACATGAAAAATTGTGCAAATATTTGATTTTGGGGCGGAATGTTTGGGGCGTTAAGGTGTCAGCAGGGCGTGTGCCGCTGTCGTCTATGGTAATCAACGGCGCTTCACGCACTTTCAGCGTCAACAGCAACAGCAACGCATTGCTCTGGGGCACAGACACGCACACACACAGTCGCACAGCTGCAGCCGGCAAATGTGGGCCAATGGCGCTGGCCAAGTTGGTCTGCCACTTTGGTAATTAAAGCCATGGAAATCAGTGCAAGGTGTGCAGAAGAAATTGTGGCTGGTGAAAGAGCCAGATCAAAGAAAGGAGAGAAAGAGACAGTGAGAGAGAGAGGGGTAGAGAGAGTGGGTTCAACAGTTGGCGCCACTTGTTGCTTGTTTCTGGTTTGCCGCGCCTGCATTTCCTGGAACCGAAACGTTTCGATCTTCCCGATTGAACGCACTTACCCAACAAGGTGTGTCAAATATAAAGACCTCATGTGACCCCATTTAACATCGAGTGCTCTTTGAAGCATGCTATTCATCATCATCTTTTCAAGATTTACATACCTGAAAGAAAATTAAGAAAATATTTTATTAACAAGAAGCAGAGAATGATAGAAAAGGTTTAGAGTATCTTCCAGTCAGACTCTCGCTCGCTCACTCACTCACTCCCACTCGTTCATAATAACTTCTAATCCCTATCTGACCCAAAAGTGGGGCTTTAAACAACTTCTTAAACATCTATTGTTAGTCACTGTAATTTTCGCTCAGGTTTTCTCCAAGTTCTGGGAGCCCAACCCAAAAGGCCACTTAACCTCTATTCCCAGCTAATGTCAATTGCTTTTGCCCAGTTTCGCGACATAAATCAAGCCAAAAGGTAAACATAAATTGAGCTTAAGTATTCGCAAAACTTATTAATGTGACAATTGACGAATTGACTAAAAGTAAAGATCGTAGTTAAGACGCTGCTTGCTGTCTGTCAGTCTGTCGTGTCGACTTGTCAGAGGTGGCGGTGGCGGTGGCGGTGGCTGGCCTGAGCCTTGCGGTGCGGTGGCTCCAATTTGGTTGCTTGTTGTTATTTGTGTAGTCGATTTGATGGCTTAAATGTTAAATTGGTTTGGTTTGCTGCCTGGCAAATGCTTTGCAGCGACATTAATTTACAGTTTGTCTATAGTTAAGAACATGAAAACTCATTAAAACATGCTGCAGATAAGAAAACGCTAACGACAACAACAGCAGCAGCAGCGGCAACAACAACAACAACAACAACAACGGCAGCGAGAAGAAACTGGCAATAAGACGTGGCTATAATTCAGTTGCCAGCAAGCCACAAAAACACACTCGAAACGTGACACAGTCAACAATTTATTGACACTTTCAAGACACTTGGCCAATGCGTATACCCTGTGCATAAATCAATATTTTTATGGGGTATAAACCAACTGAGCTATTCGATTTGCTCAGCGAAGAGTTGCGTAAGTTATAAAATAGGAAATTTAATTTAGATATTAAAGTTTCTCAATTTCAGAGTTGCTCTAAAGCGCTAACAGTTTGAAAGTCACTGACTAATTTCGACTATTTCCGAGTCTAGTCGTAACTATTTTACCTCTTTTGTCTGGGAAAACTGGATAAGTTCGTTAGACTCGCTTTTCTTATTATCTGTGGGCAGAGCCTAAACCAATCAATATAATATTTATATGTTCTGCTTGTAATAGATAATACTCTAATAGATAGTTCTGGTCTAGATAACAAAACTATTGACTTGAAATGTTTAGTATGTAATCACTACAGTTATGCACAGATATATAACTGTGACAATCGATTATAGATTATAAATGATAGCTTATCGATAGTAGATGTATATTTATGATTTATTGAGAATCATATATATCATACACATACAATCTCTATATAGTTTTTCCGTTGATTTATAATAGTTCCCTAGGGTACGCATGTTTCGATTGCTTTTTGCTTTTTTTTTCAATTTGTTGTCAATTACGAATTGCTGTTGTTGCTGTTGTTGTTTTCTCATGGTGGCAGGCAGGCGACACGTTTTTAAAAGTCGCTGATGGATTGATGTGGCTTCACGTGGCTTGCACAAATACAGCAAGAGGCACACACACTCAGTCACTCACACACACACTCAGTCACTCACACACACACACATGTGTGCTGGCAAATGTTCTGCCAAGTGAGTCACCCACCAATGTTGTTTGTCACTAATCATTGCTGCACTCCCTTAACCACCACCACCCGACCCTCATCCCCTCGCTATCCTCACTCCATCACACGCTCTACCAATACGCGCTCAATAGCCGAATGAGCACAAAATTGGAACCGCATGCAGCACGCAGAGAAACCAAGACCGACAAAAGACAGACGAACGACAACAAGCGATAAGCTATGAGGCCTGATGGACTAACAGATACCACGTAGTCCACAAAAAGAATTTGCTATGGGCAAGCATTCTTTCTTACACGAACTACCCCATTAATGTGGTTACAGGGCATATTTAATGCTGCTGCAAAACATAAGTGGAAGTGCCAACTGCATAAACTGAGACTGTCAGAAGCTACGTCCCTGAAATAATATCGATTTCGCTGTTTGGACTTTGCCTGCCTTTTCGCCTGCTGTTGGCTCTGCTGCTGCCTTTTGCTGCGCCCTCTTTCCTTGTCTTCTCGTTCCTTCTCCTTCTTCTTCTTCTTCTTCTTCTTCTTCTGCTGTTTGTGCGCTGGTTCCGATTGCCGCATTTGCCACTAAGAAGGCATTCACCTCATTTCCTGGACACGCGGCCGCATCAGGCGTTGAAGTGGACAAGCAACAGCAGCTGCAGCTGCCCCATGCCCAAGCCATACGCCCCGCTCCCAGTCCCTGGCCCCACCCAACCCAGCCAAAGGCGTTGCCACAGACAGAGTGAGACAGAGAGACAGAGAGAGAGAGAGATAGAAGACAGACAGTTGCAGCCACAGATCATTGCATAATCAAGCGTCATTGTATTGGAGCTGCAATGCCTATCTTAATATCGATCTGACTCTCGATGACTGATGAACGTCGCTGATGCTAGGATGGGTTTTACTTTCCATCTCTTTCCTTGCCAGCGCGAATCTCTTCAATCGATCCGACGATCTCATTACATACAACATAAATGAAAGTTCCTTAATGGCAGCGAAAAGAAGCATCAATAATTGATATGAGGAAGGAATTTCAAGGCTATTATCGTTAAGCGAAAACTTAAATGAGAAAAAGTAGAAGTTGAATAGGAATTCTTGCAGAAGATATGTGAGTATTATAATTTATCTACTTTATATGAATAGTTCTTATGAACTCTGAATATGAATATGCTGAAAAGCATACTAAATTCTAGCTCATGTTTAGATCAATGATCAATGATAAGTCTAAGGCAAGTTCGAGTATATTTTACCCCGTAATAAACGATCATCAGACTATCTCAGCAATGATTAATTGCTGCTCTCTTGCACAGCGTCCATTTAGCTGACTGATCCACTCCACTTGATAATGATCGAGCTTATGAGCAACAAATCTACGATCTATGCTGCTCACTCGGCTGTCCATGCCAGGCAAGCAGCTTTTACTTGTTCAAACATGCCTTTCTCAGGCTCTCGTATTCTTTGATATCTTTCTAATCAACTGGTCGGGCAGCCGCCTGAAGGCTTTCAAATGCCATTCAACTTATAGCAGGATAATCATTATCAGTTAGCACATAATAACTGCAAACTGCGCTCAACTTGAAGCGTCAACCCCGAGGCACGCCGGTGATTAGCGGCATCATAAATTGTGCACTTTATCTGTGCAGCATGATCGCACGTTGAGTCGCCGACGACAACAACAACAACTGCAACTGCAACTGCAACTGCAGCAGCAACAGAAGCAAAGCAACAAAAAATCTAACAAAAAGAAAAACGAATGTTGCGTAACGGTTCTTAAGCCACCCAGCTGAAAAGTTTTCGCAGTTTTCCCAGCTTTCGAGCTCAGGCCATAAATGGCCAACGCTAATTGCTTTGTCCGTCCGTGCTCATGCAGTTTTTACTGTAGTTTCTTCTACTGCATCAACTGCATATATATACAAATAGACATTATTATTTGACCAAATTGTATTGCCTTTTGGCCGTTGGCTGTCTGCTGTCTGCTGTTAGCTGTTGGCCCCCAATGCAAAATGCAAATAAATCCAAGTCGAAGAGCAACTCGCAATATGCGATAATTCCAGTATTTGTCTTTCGCCTTCGGGCGCTGGGGATGGCCAATGGTCGATTTATCGATTGTTCGATTACACGATCGAAACTGGGGCTGGCCCTGCACCGCCTGCAGCATAAAATACATATTATTTGTTGTGTATTTTTTGGAAAGTGCGATTGCATAAGTAGGACAACAGGGCGTAGCCTCGACTCCTGCTGCCGCTGCCGCTGCTGCTGCTGCTGTTGCTGATCGGAACCTGCCTTCGTATTGGGGTTACACTTTCTCGGTGGCCAACGCGGGCTCACACCATAATTTATGTTAAGAACTTTTGATTTTAGGCAGGCGAAACAAATTTGTGACCCAATTTCACACGTCTCGAACGCTTCGATCGTCTCGTCTGATCGCTTCCCACGGCGAGTGGGCGGTCGCTCGCCCCTTAAATGTTCAATTTAAATGTCACAAAATGTCACACCGATCGAACTTAGCGGCTGCTTTATGTGTGTTATGTGGCCGTCCCCTTGGTAGATAAAACCCCTCCCAGAGCACAAGCTCCAGTTGATTTAGAGCTGCCCAAGAAATTGCTGAACCAATGTGTCTCAGTTTTATTTGTGGAGCTGCTAAAAGCAACACGTAAAAAATGCAATTAAATTCTTTAGAATCGAGCAACGATTTTCCTGGGTGCGGCTTTCGCTGCTGGGGAAACTGAGCCATGGAGGAATTGAGACATTAAAGTGTTTCGTAAATTGAATTTGTTTTTTTTTTTTTTCAAAAAGACTTCTGTGTAATTGCAATTCGAGTTGCTGTGTGGAGATTAAAGAGGTCAGCAAGCAAAAAGGTTTTACGGATCACTAGATACTAAAGCTTAAATAGACTAATAAATAAGTAATAGATCAATTATTTAATGAAGTTGGAAATTAACGTTGCTGGAAGAATAATAAATTGGGGTAGCCCATTCGATGTAGCCATATCTATTTGCCCGTCATCCAATTTTTAACATTTTTTTTGCATATACAGCTAATATGTGAAAGAGTTTACGACGAGAATTTTCGACCTCATCACTTTTACTTGCTACTGGTAGCACTTCCTCTATATCCAGATATTTGTATAAACTTCGAGAAATTTATAGATTTCCTTTAGTGATTTCCGTCCCAGATACCATTTTCATTATAATCTTTCGTATAGTTTATATTTCACATATCGATGCCTACACATCGTGCAGCTCCTACTAGGCTAATCATGTCCATAGATCCTGCTCTGCTGGCCCCTGCTGCGCACTATTTCGCACAAGTTGTTAACATGATTGAATGCCTCATTTGGACGATTTATGTGCTGTGAATGCGGCTGCTTTTTGGATCTGGCTTCTTTTTTCTTTGTTGTGTTGGTCAAAACCGTTAAAAGGATAATCGCCAGCATGAAAAATGAATGTTGAACCCTCGCAGCGCTATCTGCAACCTGCAGCGCCCGCCAGCCTTCCCACCCCCCCGTGCCGCTGCGATTCCCACGTTTCATCGAGTTTGAGCGCGTGCAATTTGTGGCATGCAGCAAACTTTCACATGGAGCGGACAGGCAAATTAACAGCAACAACAACAACCACAACAACAGCAAACAATATAAAGAGCTGTAAATGCCCCACAAACACCCACTAACTAACTCCATATGCATATAGGCATTATATGCATATATCTCTCTCCATATACATATATATATGGCCTCCGAATGAAAGTGAAGTGAAGAATTGATGGACACGCTTTTGCCCAGCTCCAATGCCTGTGGTGTGTGTGTGTGTGTGGGCGTGGCACATTCACATGACAAACCAGGCAAACAAATGATCCCCGCAGCTGCTGCAATCGATGATTACAATGCTTAGATAACTATCGAAGCGTAACCAGCTCAGTGGGCAGGCATTGCAGGGTATATCTCTGTCTGCTTGCCAGACGGGCAGACAGACGGACGGACAGGCTTAGGCCTTAGCTAACCAGGATCGTCGCCTCCTGATCGTCTGATTTGCTTAATTGCATAAATTTTTATTTGCTCGCGTCGATGGTGCATGAGATATGCAAATGACGCCCGATATCCAATATATATGCCCACGGGCAGCTGCTGCTGCTGCTGCCGAAACTAAGCTAGAGCTAAACAAAAAAACTAAGCCGAAATAGCGAAAAGTCGCGCATTAAATCACACACACAGAAATTGTAGCAACCGCGGCAGCTCCTAGGCCAGGCTCATAGACCCGACCAAGACCAAAAGCCCAGACGCCATCGTCGTCGTCGTCGTCGACTTTCGCTGCCTTTGAAATGCAAAAGAAAAAACTAAAAGTTTGCAGCAATGTAGGTGTATCAGAAAATGTATTAAACGACAAGGCGAATACCCTGTAAATATGCTTTGTTATAAAGAGAATATGATGTTAACATGAATACGTAAACGCCAGAAATGCCAGAACAAAATCTTATGAATTCAGATTCTAGAGAACCCTAGATCAATAAACTATTGAAGGATATGCTTACTGGGGGTAGGAATCTATATCTTTTACAATTAAGTTATTATCCCATATTG